ATTTACATATACAAATTTACAATTTTGAATTTTCAAAACAATTTTTTGTTGAGACTAAATCTTTTAACATGATAAACAAATATACGTTTTATAAAAATAGATATTATTATATATATATATATATATATATATATATATATATATATAAATTAAGTATACTTGAAATAATTATATCTCGCGCAATTGTTTGTCACGAAGCGAGTATTGAATGGTATTTCTAACGGTGCAGTTAAAATTTAATAAAAAATATATTTTTTTATACCCTTATGAACGAATTGCTAACTGTAAATTAATTAATATTTAACTTAGCGCTACTATATTACCGTTACGTATATACGTCTATTACTAGCTCAGAACATGTCCTTGTGCCATGCTGATGCAAATTAAACTCGCGCATTTTGCATTATTCTAATGAATTGCGTCGAAATGAATGCTGTTTTATCGCGTCTTCGAGAACATGTTTGCACGGATATAAAGAGCAACAAAATAACTTTTCATATAGTAGATATATAATGCTTCGCTTTGAATCGATCAATCTCGAAGTAATTTCGTATACGTAGAGAGAAATGAATTTCTATACAAATTATCTCAATTACTTATTATGTATCTTTATTTTCGTAAATTATGTTTATTTTTGTATGGTTTATATTCATCGTAATACTTTTTAAATGAAGATTATTATTCTTTAATCATACATACTATTTTGAATTCTATCTAAGAATGATGAGAACAATCTTACAATTTAAGAAACAGATAATGATATCTCGTTATTTCATGATGAGATCGAAATAAGAGTAATTTTGAATTCTCAGGCAATTTGTGGTTTTATCCTTGCGGTTGTCAGCCAAAAAACTAGAGAATATCCATTTCACATGTTTAAAAGAATATTATTTATTTCCGAGATCTTTTCTTTCGTAGATAAATATCTGCGATTAAGGATATTGTAATATAAATTTTTTAATGAATTTTTTAATCGAATAAATGATACTTGTATAAACATTCGTATTAATATTGCGTTTTTAACTTAGTTTTTCTCTTGAGAACAAAGATAAAATAGAGAAAATACACCATTTACAGAAACGAGTTTTATATAATTCACGTTAATGTGCTACTTTCGAAATACAGCAGAATAAATTCGTATGTGTGTTTTCTTGTTCCGTGACAAGAATACAAATTTAGCTTAAAAGTGTATTCTGTCGATTGCGTAATATTCGATTGCACTTATAATTTAGCTTACTTTAAAAATAAAATCAGTTGAAACGAAATTAATTATGTTAATAATATGTCAGGTCACTTATGTAGTCAAATTGCCATTCCGTCTTGCTTATAATTATTTTTGAAGAAGCCGCCAAATGAGAAATCAGAAAGCTAAAAGCAAAATTGCAACGAATTTGTCGATTTTAAGCGAATTTTCATTTTAATTGAATTTTCATTATTTCTATTTGTTTTTTGTCTTGCTTTTTTTGCCTTTTTTTTCTTCCTTATTTTCACATTTATTATCACGTTTATTTATAGAACAGTTTTATAACAAATTGTAAGCTGATTAAACATTAATCATGACTTTATAATATATTATAACGTTGAATATTCCGAGAATATACATATTTATTCTCAAATCTCATATTGATTTATATAACAACATTTATATCATTTGACTAATTCCATTGACAGAAATGAATATGTATATAACTATACCGTAGGACTAGATGCCGTGTGACATATTAATGAGATTATCGTTCGATTGAAATCACTATTAAGAAATTATTAAAGTTAAAACACAGTTGAATTCACCATACAGAGTTCCTTATCATACCGATAAAATATTTACTTAATCATCACATTTGCTTTTAAAATGATTCTTTAAACTTCTTAATTTTTTTTCTTTTGTTTCCGTTACATATCGTCTAGATATATGTCTAAAATTCAAACTGATAAATATTCATCGTTGGTGCTTGTTTAATGCGCCCAATGAAAAAAATAGGAGTTTTTAAATAGCGTATTTTTTACATGGCCGTTTAACGTCTCGTTTGTTATTCCATTACGTGGCATTTATTGTCGCATAAAGGACTGCGTTCGAAAGAGCGTATCCATTCCATGATGGATATTTCAAAGGATAGATGGCTCTATTGTTCTCAACATTATGCGTCGCACAGTCGTAACTCGACATAATCTGTATTCCAATGAAATATTCAATACAATGATAATAGATAAATGATCACATACACATTGTGTATATTATTTCGAAAAGTCATCATAATTTCAATAACAAAATTAAACAAGGTTAAATTAAAAATTAAAAACTAAATTGTAACGATACCATTAGAATTTAAAAAATTTATTTCCTTACGTAGTAACTCGTTTTGCATTATCCGTTTAATTTTTAAATGATGTTTCACGATGAATATGTCGCGATATAAATTTTTAATCTCATATGCAACTGCAAAATTGATGATAATATAACATATTACCTTTGCAAAAATTGCTACTCTGAAATTGCATTACAAGTGATGATAATGAATGTATATTGTCACTGTCAATGCTTGTTAATTAGAAACTATGTAGTCGTATAAGTTAGTAGTCTCTATCTCGGGTAATACAGCACCATCGACAATATGAATAAATAAATATATATATATATATTTATAAATTATATGTCTTATATTTTTAATAGCACGCATGAAATATTATTTAGATTAGGCACACATCTTGATCATCATATATCTTGATAATTTTATTTTTTTTCTTATCTCATCTTGCACGCGCGCGCGCCTGCACACACACACACACACACACACACACACACACACATTTTCGGATTATAAACTTTTATAATTTAAATGCAATTTTATAATCCAGAAATTATTTTTATTAGACATTTTCAAGTTAAAAATCATATAACACATTCAACACACATTCAATGTGATATATATTGAATATGTTATATTGTTATTCGAATAATTATTGCTAATGAGATATGGAAATATTATTCGAATTCTCAAGTGACGTATTACCATATACATTTATGATCTCACACGGCAACAGCGCGCGATTAATTAACTACAATGTGCGTCAAGTAGGTCAATTCAACTATTAAGATATGTAGAGTATAAATCGTGTTTTTGATTTATGATCGAGATGAAATTTACGCAATTCGAATTTACATCTCTTTAAAGCACAAGGAATATTCTTTTGGATGACTCCCAACAAAAGATATTTCTATATTTCTTCCTTATCGTCTGTTTTATTCTAAGTAGATATGCTATTTAAAAAAGTACAGAAGAAGAAAGAGCGATAGTGACACGATAACTTACCGTTGTGTCGGATAAGGATATTATATTATGCCTTATCTCTTTACATGTTTATAATTAGGAAATTAAGAAACACACAGCCTTCAACTGCTTTGTACTGCGATGAACTGTAGTTAAAAAAATGTGAAAGAGTGAAATATAAGTGAGAGAGAGAGAGAGAGAGAGAGAGAGAGAGAGAGAGAGAGAGAGAGAGAGAGAGAGAGAGAGAGAGAGAGAGAGAGAGTGAGAGTGAGTGAGTGAGTGAGCGTGTATCTCGTTAACGAAAATTTGCTTCGAAACGAATTGCTCTCGATGTTAGAAACTGGTCTTGAGTCTCACCATCTGGAACACGAGTGCTTCTCGACCACCTTTCCTCTCCTGCAGCATACAGCATAATGATTTCGAGGTAAGCAATAGACAGGTGCGGATGTAGATCGAAACTCCGTATCCAGTGTTTGACCGACCAATTACTACCTCGATTTCGTAATGTAACATTTCTCATTACCCAAACCAATCTAATTACACGCATATATAAATGTCACAAGTTATTTTATTATAAATGGCTTTGTCAAAAAATAAACGTTAATAAAAAGGAAAAGAATTTATGTTCAGTAAGTATCAATATTCATATGAGTTTAACGCTTGTGTGCCTGCGTGGAAGTTTAAAGTGTCCTATTTCATATAAGAAACAGGATATCAAAACTAACTTGCTGTTTACTTTATATATTTGTTATTATATTATTTTTTAATATCAATTATGTTTAGTTTCATTTGTTTTTTTAAAAAGAGACATAATTGATGAAAGATAAATGATGGCGATCTCTGAAGACACTTCTCGTTCACGATTGAAATTTAAATATAATGAATTAATCAACTGCGTTGATGAATTATTTCGTTTAAATGAGAAAACTATATATATATATATATATATATAATATAATAATAATATATATATATATATATATATATATATATATATATTATACAATTTAAGATTATACTTTGTAAAAATTTAATAACTGTTGTAAAATCAAAATAGAAAAAAAAAAGAAATTGTAAAATATCGCGATAATGATATTGCGCAAGCGTTCGAAGCGAAATCAAACAAAGCGAGGTTCATTGAGAAAGTTAAAAGAAGAGGAAAAAAAAGAGAAATACGGAGAATATCTTTTCTCAACAAACGAGTAACAGCAGGCAGGCCGAGAGAAGTGTCTTCACAATGGAACCCCTTACA